TGCATGACGGTCAATGGGCGTTGTTGTGCGTCTGCGCAGCATCGGTTGATTAGCGTCTTGCGTGCTGTGCACGGGCTAAGTTCAGGCCAAGATGAGAGAGTACATCACAAAAGGGGTCTTGTGTCTAGCGGGAAAATCCAGTGTTCCAAAAGAGGCAATTAATTCACTGCCTGCATCAAATATATATGTATGTCAAAAAAACATCAATAGCTCAAATGCAAAAAATTTCACAATCCCATAATTTCGTTGGAATGTAAAGACAGCCAAATAAATCAGTTGTACACAACGTTAATTATGCTCAACAGGAAAATCTTGCAGAGCAACGTAGCGTCATCAACGCTTTGTTCCCTTGTCGACGACCCAGTAATGAACAAGGGTCTGTGTGAGTGGCTTTTAGCTGTTCACGGCAATTTACCGCAGGGATCCATGAAAACAGGTTTAAGCAGTCCAAAGGGAGACATTTTACTAAGCGCCAACACAAGAGAGACAGAAAGGTATCTAATTTTATGTGCTCCAAGAGCGGGGCAACATCTAAAATTAACTAAAACTTTAACCAAACTAGAACTTAAATCAACGGTGTCAGATTCGAAAATTTCTCAAGAAAAGCGTTACACCATTTGCGACAAGTCTTTATTCACTAAATAAATTAATTAATTAATGCGTAATTCATTTTGTTTGCGAGTGTGTGTGTGTGTGTGTGTTTGGGGGGGGGGGGGGGGGAGTAATTAACTTTTTGTATTGTTTGGCTCCTGATAAATAATGCACAGTACCTAAATAGTGTTATCGCTTTTTAAACATTTGTATGGTTGGCTTTGATATCTTACCTAGCGGTAACTTTTCTATCATTTCTAATTCAACAGGATTGTGGGAAGGTCAATCGTTCTCCATTACAAAAATGACCTATCTTTCAATAGCTCAAACGAGGGGGAACTAGAACGGCTAATGGAGCTTATTACAAGAAATAAAGTAGGTTAACATGCATTTATACCAAATATTGAATATAGCTTCGATTCCCAATGTATTTCTAAAACATTTGTTGTTGTGCCACCAATCCCTCTTGAGTTTTTCCATTTATTCAATTTTGACTTTCTTCAATTATTACGTTCTTCGCGTATAATCCAAAGGGAATGTTGATAGCGTGGGTTGTTATCCACAACCAGCGCTGGGCGCAGACCAGCCATCTCATAAACCAAATTGAGGAGATTTTGAAAGCACTAGTTAAAAAGAAGGTAGAGAGTCGGTGGTTTAAGGGATGTGCAGCAGTTATCTACACTTACGTGATGTTGAGTCTCAATAAATTAATCCAGATGGATCAATTCGTTTAGTACATTTTATTTTATTATATATTTTGGTCATTTCCTCATACTGATCTTACTGACTAACAGGTCCAACGTCGATTTTCACAATCACAACAAAATTAACCATGACAGATATCACGTGCCTCCACCTTGATACATTAGAATATTAGACAAAACCTTGCGCAATGATTGTTTTAATTAACCACCACCAACAAATACAAATGTTGGCTATGACAGAGACAATGGCCCATAATAATAAATAATGATAATGGCAACATGATAGTTCTGTAGAGAAAACCTCCCCTCTAGAACTATCATATAATTCATCTTGATTTTCAGTTCTACAACGTTACGACGCAAAGTACTGTAGACGTTTCAATGATGCACAAAATTTTAGAAGTTGTCATCAAAGACGGTACGAAGGCTGTGGGAGGAACCGCGGACACCAGACCCTTCCTGGAACGGTTAAACGTCGAAATTATCCAAAAACTGGATACTTGTGACGCAGTAAGTTTATTAATATTAATAATAATAAAGATAATAATAAAAATGATAATAATGATAACTTCATAATGATTACAATAATATGATCATCATTGATTTTTTTATTCCCTTAAAGTAGCTAATGATTTGCTATACTCTGCAAAGTTATTCCATGATTTTTTCCTGTTTGAAATGTCAATGAAATAATACATATCTTATCATCAAATAAATCGCATAACGTTTTTTATTGCTTTTTGTTTCTAGCCGTTGACATGGATAAATCCTTGTGTCACCACCACCGTTGGCGGGAAAAAAGTTGAAGCTGTGGGGATCACAAATGCAGTGATGAAATCCTTCACAAGCATTAGCAATAAGGCAAGTTTTGTTTATTATTTTTATATACAGTATACGTTTTCAAAACCATTAGCAAGATATCAGGCAGAACAACAACAAATAATGTCGATGAAAACACAAAAACAACAAAAATAATGATTCTATCCAGAGATATTTGTTGGCGGTCATGCAGCATAGAATAAAAGTTGTTTGTAAAATCATTTTCTAGCTTTTCAAGAACTTTGACGTCGAAGATGATGATCATGCTGACAATTGTTTTCTTACTCACTTAGGAAACAAAAGAAAATCTGAGCAAATGCGTAGACAACCTTGGCAACTCGCCCTTTTTGGTTGCCAAGTCGGAAACCGCCACCTTGTCCGACGTCCGGCTGAAAAGGGACGCAAAAAATGCAAAGGGGTACAAGATCCCATTTGAATGCTTCAAAGAAAACGTGCGACAAACAATCAAATATGGTAATATGGTTGTAGTTTCATTTAAAAAAATCATAGAAACAAAAAGACAATAGATTTTATTATGTTTTTTAATTGAAGCTTGTGGACTTACTGCCGACAAACCATCAGAGGAAGGGGAAGGGGAAGTGAGCGGCGAGGAAGAAAGATCAGAAAGCGATGAGATGAGCGCAGCGGCGCAAAGAATTGTCGACCTTTTTTCCGTACAAGGTGTGTACTCAGAAGGGTCTTAACAAAATCATGATATGAGTTCTATTAATTTATTTTGCATTTTTGATAAATTTATTTGATAGAAAACAATACTGTCCCCTCGGTAGAAGATACTAGAGCGTCTGGTCGGCTTCCAGATGTCCTCGATGTGAGTACATACTTATATGCCATATCATAAGTTAGATGTAATGATATAATGACCACTCACGTCACTGTATTCAGCTTATGTCAGTTAAAATCTATAATTTCAGGAGTTGTCGCCCGCTTCAAAGGTTAGGTACAGCCTACTGTCTCCAGGAAGGAAGGAGGAGTTCAAGAAGGTATAGAATAGCCGTACGGAATAATTGATTTTGCGCTTATTTTCGATATTTCAATAATTCGATATTTCCAATAATTCAACTTGTAATTCGATATGTCCCCATCAACACTATCATATTATGATCATCCTCGTCACTATCATTATGGTTAATAATCATTCATTCCTATTCTACGCAATAAACCACGCAACCACACTTTTTGGAGTATGACTTTGCCTTGGCGCCTGCTGGACAGACAACCCACGAGAATCTCCAAAGCCGAGAACCGCTGAAAAGAAGAGAGGAATCCATAAATATAAGTGCTTTGAACCGTGATGAATGCGCTTTCCAAGTCACGATTTTACGTTGGGAAGCATTAATTCTCACATTTTCATTTTCGCATTTTTGTTATAAGGGTGTCATGGCTGGGCTTAAAATTGCCACGGGAGGTGACGGCGATGAGCATGATGACGATTCACATTCCTCTAACGAGGAGGAATCACAAGGTTAGGAAAGCGTGATGACGTGCAATAATAACTTTTGAAATCATTTGCTTATTATCTATAATTATCAATAAAAACGTTGCCTGAACCTAAACTTGTTATTTACTAGTAGAACTTTCGGCTCACCGAGACATGATCAAGACTGATGAAAAAGCGTCACAATTTACAAAACAACAAAAAAGAATGAGCGTGCGCTCCGAGAAGATCTTATGTAATGAGCGCGTGTGGGAACTAATTTTTAAGTACACACAGATAACTTTGCGGGATCATCCTACCCTTGTCCCTATTAAATAGAACGTTCTTCTTTTTTGCAATTTCTATTGCCTCACTCCACCTCCTATGTGACCAGTGACTTTCTTTACATAAAATAGATGTTTCATTCCAGTTAATTAAAGTTAGAGCCGATGAGTTATCCGTGTTCTCAAAGCCCTTCCTAAAAGGGGGCCCGCACTATAAAAGGCGAAGGAAAAGAGCTATTTTTCCATTACATATTAGCGAGAAGGCACCTACAATGACCTCCCACCTAAATAATGAATTATAATATGTCTTCAAATGCATTCTCAATATTTTTTTTTCAATTGAATTATCATTTTATAGCAAGCTCGAGAAGAAGGTTATTTACTCCCGAGGGATCAATTGAGTTGTTGTCACCCTGTGTCATGCAAGGTAAAAGTCATTTCTCAAGGCAAAGTGAAAATGCTTATGTATATTAATAAATACCCGATTTTTGTGTTTGTTTTGGCAGAGGAATCCTCTGACGAAGAATCCTCTGACGAAGAATCCTCTGACGAAGAATCTTCGAATGATAACGATATCAGAGAGGACGGTAATAAAAACTTCCCGTCTCGCACCTCACCTGCTCACTGCAAATTATATAACTTATTACAAATTATCTTGTTAATTTCACAAGTCGGAACTTTACGAGGGAATAGAATTGCAAAAAGCTTACTTCTCGGATTGTTAAATAACCATTCTCTATTCGTTTGAAAAGGTTTGAATTTTTGTTATTCCCGCCATTATTGTTTTCTATTATTTCCGTATAGATCAATCACCCAAGGCGAAAAAAAGAAAAGATGAAAATAGAGGTAAATAGAATCCGCATTAAAATTGCCTCACTCTTTTTTGAGACTATTTTGTTTATGATTGAGTTTATTTAATGAAAATTAATAAAAGAAACATTTTCTTCAGAGGCGTACAAGTTTTGCATATGCAAAGAGGTGGGTAAAACAATTTGTTTTTACATCAACATATTAGAATATGTTGATATAATTCTTTTTTTTTGTGAACGGCACCAAAAGAAAAAAAAATAGCGCCCGCGACTTTATGCTAATCTCTATATTTTTTCCATAGAACTTGACAAACATTAACGTTTCAAATTTACAGAACTCAGAGGAAGAAGAAGATAACATGCTAATCTGTGAGAACAGAAACACAAAGCACAACAAGGTACTTAACTGACTAATAAAAAAACCAGGCATTTCAAAATATGTATTAAATCTATAATAGCTTGTTGTAGGCTTTGTTCATAACTAATCTATGATCAGACGATTCATCATTGCATAGTAACGCATTCGTCGAAAACTCGGGAAACTATCATTMATATACTAAGGATTAGGAATTACCGTAAATTGAAAATCTGTAATCATGATAGTACTAAAGGAAATTATTGATATTAAAGTATGCAATTGTATCCATTTCAGTGTAACGGTAACAGGTACTTTCATTTGAGCTGTTTGGGCTTGACCCAAGTGCCTGCTGAAAATCCCTGGTAAGTAGTATCCACTAATAGCAACAACATAGAATCAGTTCGTATATAACTTTTCTATAATAGTGTGGAAAGGTCTGGACCCAGATGAGTGATTTTTTATCAAAGTAACATGTACATTATGATTATCTGGGTGGATGTATTTCTGAGAAGAACTGTTTGATGTGACTGACGTTTTGACCACCTGTGCGGTATTCATTTTCTACGGTGGCCCATAACTGTCACGGCAATACCAAATTTCAAGACACAACACAATAAAATCACGGCACTACACAGAATTTCACGGCGCTACACAATATTTTCACAACACTACAAAATAAACTCACGGCACTACACAATATTTTCACGGCAAATCAGCCATTTGATACGACGCTACAAAATATCACTCACGGCAAAATACACAAAGGCACGGCACAACTCAGAATAAATAACACAGGGAGCCCGGTGTTAATTTTGACAGGGGGGACAATATAATCGACAAATCAATCACTCTCCCAGGGGAGTGCAGCGTTCAGTAATTTACCACGCTTCATTGTTACTTGATCACACTTGTCCTGCTTATTGCTGGTCGCACTTGTTTATATATCATGCCGTTTTGCTCCAGCTATAGCAAGGAGGTGTCATGAAACGATGCCTTCTGTAGTGATTGCGGGAAAGGTAAGTCATTTGCTAAAATTTAAGTGTGATTCTAGTCGCTTGAATGTAAAATAGTGAGTTTGTAGTTTGGAACCAGGTTTACGGGACCTCCCTATGTGCACAGGAATCTATTGTATTGTATTGTTTTTAGGTTTCTTTGTAATTCAGCATATTCTTTAGCTTCTCTAAAGCCCTATTGTTTTGAGCTTTTGTT